TCGACCTGCGGTGGCTCTTCCGGGAAGAGCCTTACATAGAAGAGGAGATTTGAGCCTTACATAGAAGAGGAGATTTGAGTGCCCGGGGAGATTTGGGCACCCAATGGCGTACATAATGGAGTGGATAGATGTAAGTATTTTTTTTATAAATCTTATTACAACTACGCTTATATTAATCCAAAATTCTTTTTCTGTTACAGGAGCGGCTCCTCCTGACCCGGCGCACCGCCCCCCCCCAAAATTAATTTTATATATTTTATATTTTATTATATCATTATATATTTTATTATATTTTATTATATCATTATATTTTATTTTTTATTTTATATTTTAAATTTTATTCTTTATTCTTAATTTTAAGTACACACACACACACACTCAAATTGTAAAATACACACACACACAAATTTTAATAAATTTTATATATTTTAATTGTAAAAAATGTGATTATTTATGTGCCTCTCCTTGCATTCCCATCCCTGCGTCTCTCTCTTGCTCTAGCTATAAGTATCGCGATATCGTTCTCTTTCTCGTGCGTTAATCATAAGTCTCGCGCTAGTTGTAAGTCTATCTCTTTCTCTCGCGATTAGAATAAGTAATCTCTCTCTCTCGCGCTATGACACTGAAAAAAAATGTATAACAGATTTTAAAATAAAATGTATATTTGTAATTGTAAAAAAAACTAATTATTTACACGCCTCTCCTTGCGACTTCCCGCAGGCTCGCTCGATCCGACATCTGCCCTTAAGATACCTACTCTCGGGATACAAGTATTACGTCCTTCCTTTAGTCCATTTTTCCTCAGGCATGGACGTAACATTAGAATATGAGTAGAAAATGCTTTCTTTTCATTGTACTTTATACAACTCGTATTTTACACTTTGTATTATAGATCACTAATTAATTATCGTTAGAGATATAACAAAAAAGATTATATGTTAAAAAACTTCATTTATTGTTCTATTATTATATCTATTTTTAATCTCAAATGATAATATTTAAATAGCTATTATAGCTTTTCGCAAGTACATTGATTGTTACTTTTGTCCTGGGGGCCTGGGACGAAAGTAACATAGTCTAGGGATAAAAGTACCAGTTCTTATTTTCGGGAAAATAAAATAAATATGCCTTTTTTCAATTTAAGGCAACTTTTATTATAATCTTTTATTAAGCAAGATAACTTTTATTATAAATTTTTTTGTATTATATTATATTAAAATAAAAAATAAAATAAATATTTATTTTTATCTTTAAAAAACTTAAAAGAAGTAATCTTCGTTAAGCAAAATAATTATAAGTAATATAATAAAATAATTATACTTAATATCACACCAGTTTTGAACTTTTTTAAGTCTAAGTAATAGTTTAATTTTAAATAATAGTGTCAAAATTGCATGATAACTTATATAAAAGAGATTGGTATCTATTCCGAATCACAATTATGGCATACGTAATAAGAATCGCTTTTGGTACAGTTATTAAGGGACCAGCTCTTACGTTCTAAGCATTGAAACATGTTACTTTCGTCCACAGAGTATTGTGTTATTTTTGTCCTCAAACACATTTTTTAGAATACTAGACAACACAGGCGCGCGAAGCGCGCGCTATTGAGCTATTACATAAAAAAAATAAAATATTTAAATATTCAAGATATATAATATATATTCCAATATATACTTAATGTTATAATTAAATTTAATAATATTAAATAAGAAAACTTCTTTCTCTATTTCTCTGTCTTACATAAATAACAAAATTATAAATAATAATATTAAAATCAACCTGTCAAATTGTCAAACTGTCAAACGATACGAATGAAGCAAGTCGCTCAACAAATTACTATTGACGACCAATAACCAATCATCATCGCGGAAAAGAGGCAACAATATCAATAACATGGCTTTCTTAGAGAGGGAAAAGCATTATAACCTAAATATGATGTAAAACTTAGCCAAATCAACTATAAAAACTTATGAATACATTTTAGAAGAATGCACCGGTAAATAATTACGTCAATATATACACTTTAATTAGGCATAGATACAAAAAAACTAAAACAAGAAATACTTAGGCGAATAATGCAAATACACTAATTTCACTTTTGCATGTGCAACCGGCGCGATTGTTCTACAACAATTAGCTGAAAAGGAAGAGAATAGAGGCGTACGCGTTTGACTATATAGTACAAATTATTCTAGTAGTACTATATAGTACACATATTGTGTAGTTTAGTAGGAGATTTGTTACTTTCATGACGCTTTAACTTTGGTCCTCGGTCTCCCCTACGATCGTAAACGTTACTATCAGAAAATATCCAAAAAAATCTTTATATTATTTTCAATCAGTGCAACTAAGACAGGTAAAACGGGTATACTTGTTAGATGAAGTCATTGATAAATTTGTTGAAGATCGCAAATCATTATTGGTATATCAACGTATACCAGATTGCAAATACGTGTCAGTGTTTAATGCAGACATTGAGTCACTTTCTGACTCAGATATTCGTAGATGAAACTAATAAAAGAAATATAGGCACTTCTTTTTTATTAACATATTATATGTGAAAGAAATATAGGCACTTCTTTTTTATTAACGTATATGCATAGTTCCCTTCCAATTTGCGCGAAATGTCTCAAGCCGTCACGCAGAGCTCTTATTATATTACAATGAAACATCACGGAAAATTGCCAGCAAATTGTATCTCGCGCGCGTGTTTCGCTATTAATGAAACATTACATAACTTTGTTAACAGTTAAATGCGCGTGCAATTAAATTGCGTAACTGCGTATTTAGCTGTTAATTATGTAATCATCATGAACGCAATGTCGTAAATTCATAATCTTTCAATTTTTCACGTTAATCATCAAAATGTATGCAGTACAATGAAGATTATAGAATAATTCCATATATAATAATTATTTTGTAACAATTATATATTTATATAAAATAAACGTTGTTTATATTATAATTGTTTCATTTAATTATTTTATAGCTCCGCATCTAAAATGAAAATGTATGAACATGTTATATACTACATATATACATATACATATTATACAGGGTGACCCATTTTAACTTAGGCAGCCAAATAACTCGAAAAATAAGCACACTACGAAAAAATGGTTAGAATCAAAATTTCGTCATTTCGAGGGGGACGTACAATGACGTTACAATCAGCCCCCCCACCCCTCCCCCTGGGCGGTGAGGGGGGGCAAGTTTGAAATCTTAAATGGAAACCCCCATTTTTCAATGCATATTCTTGTAGCTTATCTCGAGAGCTTTCCAAAACACTACAGACAAATGTTTTTTCATTAAGTACTTTTTGAGTTAAAAAATGTGTAATTTGCAATGCACTTTTTATTATAAACAATCATACGTTTTCTTTGCACCAATAGTTTTGTCTCATTATCTTGTGCATAAAAGTATTAGGGTAAGACTACCGAAAACTAAATATTTTACGAGATATTTTGCATTTTATATCGAAGTACTGCAAACTTTGAAGCCTTATAACTCAAAAAGTACTTAATGAAAAAACATTTGTCTGTAGTGTTTTGGAAAGCTCTCGAGATAAGCTACAAGAATATGCATTGAAAAATGGGGGTTTCCATTTAAGATTTCAAACTTGCCCCCCCTCACCGCCCAGGGGGAGGGGTGGGGGGCTGATTTTAACGTCATTGTACGTCCCCCTCGAAATGACGAAATTTTGATTCTAACCATTTTTTCGTAGTGTGCTTATTTTTCGAGTTATTTGGCTGCCTAAGTTAAAATGGGTCACCCTGTATATACATGTGTATTACTATCAAATATATATTTATCTAAAAATAGAAATTTTTTTATAAATTGTATCACAATTTCTCTTTTTCTCTTTCTTTTAGTCATATACAAATAAAAAACGCGTGAGCAATTTGATTCTATAATTACAAATTTATTGTAATAATTCTCGAAAACCATTATGAAGTTTATATAAATCTACAAGTTTATATAAATTAAATATCATAAGCTATAGAATTATAATTATATAATTGTGTAATAATTCATAGTTTTTTTTAAATAATTCACATATTTATATATGAAAATTCTCTAAAAGTTAGAATATTGCCACAAAACTATTTATTAATAATCAGCATATACTTAATTTATATTTTATTTCTTTATTTTTCTCGATTTTCTTCTTAAGTAAAAATTTACATACATCGCGATATACACGTACACATAAATTTTTTATTACATCAATTAACAATAGTAGATACAGAGATGACGAAGTCCTGAAATCTCCAATAAAGGCGTCCATATGAAAAAAGGAGCGGGATAGAAAAGAACATGTGAATCCTAAAGACTAGTAGAGGGCTGTGTCGAAAATGAAACTCAAGGTCTCGTGCAGTTTCATTGTATATATATATATATATATATATATATATATATATATATATATATATATACTACCGCTCAAAAGTATTGGGCCACCTAGGTAAATTGTGTTTAAATGACTATAAATAAATAAAAATCATTCATTTATATTAATCTATATATTTAATATCAAAATATACAAAAATTTTAAATTTTTGGTTCATCCATGTGTCCTCCTTTATTTTTTATGACGCTTCACAAAGTCTTGGCAATCTTCTTATTAATTTTTCTAAAGTTTCTTTTTTGCCACTCTTGTTGTAATAAAATATCAAATAAACAAAAAAATTCCATGAAACACGCGCCTTTGTAGTAAAAATTTAAAAGTATTCATTCTAGGAAAAGAGCCATAAATACCTTTGGCTTTGTAGCTATCTGTTAGTAAACATGAAGTGATATTTATAATATACCTATTGAGAACGACTTTCCGTTAGCGCATAAACAATAAACATCGATGAAAGGCAATAGACACAATAGACACGATTTCGTTTTCGAGTTTTCTCTTAAATTAAGGGCGGCCAAATACTTTTGAGCGGTTGTGTGTGTGTGCGTGCGTGTGTGTGTGCGTGTGTGTGTGCGTGTGTGTGTGTGTGTGCGTGTGCGCGCGCGCGCGCGCATGATCATTGTCTGCCTTCATATAGATTCGATCATGATTCATGATAAACTTCGATCTAAGTCCTTGGAAGCTCTGCTAACAATCGTGGATTTTCGGAAATGTTAAAAAAGTGCGAAACCTAAGCAAACCTGTCAATGTGCTCTTTTTGTGTTTTTTTTTAAAGATCCTCTGCTTTTGATTATTCTTTTTATTTTCGTATAATTAACAAAGCAATGATCCTTATACTTCATGCTTGCGTGTACTTGGTACAAAACACGTAAGAAATATACTTACTAAAAATATTGAATTATATTTATTAGAATAAGATAATATATGCACAAATAATAATGCATTTTGTTTATTTCAGTTACAAATTAACGTTATTATTTCTATTTTAAATATAGTGAAATTATTCGACATATCGTAAGTCCTTTTTACTTTTCTATGTTTTGATAATATATTTATATATTATTAAGAGATTTTGTTTTTCAATAAACAAAGTACTTACGCAAATTGAAGCATATCAAATTAATAATCGGTGCTACGCAGTTATACTCAAGTAAGATTGGAAAGATGAGATTACCGATTATGCTTCCCATTTTTCCCATTATCATTTCCATACTTACTACCATGGCTCTGAAAAATAAATATAAAATTGATTACATTATTGCATTCAACTTAAATAATTTTATGAGTTTAAATGACAAACCTTAACGATGTGGGAAAAAGTAAAACAGTTGCTCCAAGCGTAACGTTAAAAGCTTTATTCAATAATCCAACGTATAAGCATGTAAGTATAAGGGTAATTAATGTATTTCTAGACCAGATTAAGGAAACAGAACACAGAAGCGCACATCCATAGCTGATGACTATATCAAAAATTATTTATAAAAATTAATATAGAATCTATTTTTTTCCTTCTTGCTCTCTTCTAAATAATAGTAGACAACTTATATAAAAAGGAAAATAACTTACGTGAAAGATATTTGTGTTGGAGATAATTAACAAAAATGCTAGCACATAATATACAAAAACTAGAAATAGCTGATACAATAATAGTATCGATGTATATTGAATCTGGTATAACAATCTGGAATAATCAATTTATTAAACAGAGAATATAACAAAATTTAATAAATGTAAAAATATAAATATTTTTTATACTTAATTATCACATTGTTTGAAATTGACTTTTTTTATATTAATATGTATCTCTTACTTTTTCACAATTTAACATTTCCTTTAATGCAACAGTTGCATTTTCTGTTACAGATGTAGAAATATCCAATATTTCGCAAAAAGTAAGATTATTTATGTTAGTATTAAGACTGTTAAAGTTCTCTATCGTTATAAAGAGCTGTGGCTGCCAAAGGCGAAGGGTATTTAAACTATAAATGTAACGAATAGAAAATATTAATATAAATAACATAATAATGTTAAATAAGTTGCTTAACATTTACTAAATAAATTAAGTATATAAATATGAATTAAAATAAAATATATAATCCGTGAATATTTAAATTATTTATAGATAATATTTATCTCATTGCAATTCATTCGTAAATGTACGTCAATATAATTTATCTCTGTATCATGATTCAAATGAAAAGATAAAAAATTGCTATATATATGCGTTGTATGCGTAAGATTAATTTTATAATATGCTATCGAATATTGCATGTTTAATTTGCGAATTGTCTTGTTTATTTTTGTCATAATCAAGATTTACATCGATGGAAAATTTTTACCGAGTTCGATAATGCTCTTCATAAAAAAAAGATATTAAAGAGTATTAATTTAATTGCAAACAAATTGCAATTAATCCGATGAAAGTCATTTCATATTTGCTATTGTTATGTCTGATATTCTGTAATTTAGTAGAAGATTTTAGCAGACTTTTCTGAAGTCTTATATTTTTTATAACTGTGTATTTAATTTTATTTTTATCTATGTTGATATCTTTAATTTAAGAAGAATTTAATAAAACACGATATACAAAATGTATGGAATCCGATATTACCCAGATAATGGAAATGTAAGTCACAATTAGCGAATGCAAAAATAAATATATCTTACATGCTGATAAGATCATAAATTTCAAATCTGTGTCAATTAAATTCAACGATCAACGCAGCACAACTAACCAAGGTTTTAAATTTTTATGATGAATGATGTTACTCTATCTCTCATAAAAAGCATCGTGCAATTTTACGTATTCATCACGTAGATATTCATACACATATTATGCTATATTACTTTCATCATTTTGATAACTCCAATTTACGACATTCATGACAATCATTTTAAAGAATTCGTAATTATGTCACTAATATAATAAAAAACATTGATATTACAATATTATTCATAATTATTGCGAATATCCTATCTAACAATTAAATAAATAAATTAATATATAACATCTATATGTGTACAGGGTAGGCCATTTTAATATACGCATTAAAATATCTCAAAATTCATAAGTTTAAGACAAATATGTTTCAAACAAAGTTGTATGGTTTGAAGGGGGACATAAGATGGTGCCATTAGTTTGATTTTGAAGAGTCATCTGAAGGTCACATGAAGGTCACCTCCAACTTTTTAAATAGGACATCCTATATATTTTCATATATTCTTGTAGCTTGCCTTAAAAACTTTCCAAAACACTATAATAAAGTATTTTTTCATTGAGTACTTTTCGAGTTATGAAGCTTGAAATAATCTTAATAATCTTAATTTTACAAAAACCATAAAATATCTAGTAAAATATTCATTTTTCGATTATCTTACCTTAATACTTTTATGTACAAAATAATGAGAGGAATCAATTGGTGTAAAGAAAACACATAATTGTTTCAAAGAGAAAATATGTAATTTATGTTTAACAATTACATTTTTTTTCGAAACAATTATGTATTTCTATTACACCAATTGATTCCTCTTATTATTTTGTACATAAAAGTATTAAGGTAAGATAATCGAAAAATGAATATTTTACTAGATATTTTATGGTTTATGTAAAATTAAAAAATTATTTCAAGCCTCATAACTCGGAAAGTACTCAATGAAAAAATACTTTATTATAATGTTTTGGAAAGCTCTTGAAGCAAGCTACAAGAATATGTAAAATTATGTAGGGTATCCCGTTTAAAACGTTGGAGGTGACCTTCACATGACCTTCAGGTGATTCTTCAAGATCAAACTAATGGCACATTGTGTCCCCCTTGAAACCATACAACTTTTGTCTGAAACATTTTTCTCTAAATTGCTTCGTTTCCGAGATATAAATTTGTAACACTTTACGTGGGCCACCCTATATATAATTAATACTCACCATAACATTCCGCAGAATTGTATGGTAACTAATAACAATATACGTGATAAATGTGGATTCAAGAACATAAGCTTCATCTGTTGAACACCATCTTTTAAAGATTTTGTTTTATTTTGAGATTTTGATGAATACGATTGCTCTATAGTATTGTTTAAATTTACATCTCCCAAGGCATGTATCTATATATATAAAATGTAGCAAAGAAAAATATGAAATATTTTTTTCTTTTACGATTATCTGAACAACCTTTAATATAAAAACTAATATAAAATTAAACAATTAGTTTTAATGGCAATGTGAGTCAAGTATCGATCTTATAACACAGTTATTTATCATACAAAACAAATAAAGCGGGGTCCTTTGAAAATAATAAATACAATTGTGAAAAGTTTACAAACGTTTCGACCCAATTTTTGAGCCATCTTCAGCGCAAATATGATAATTGAACAAGAAATAAAAGGCTTTACATCAGAGTCAATTATATTAAAAGCGTGCCGTCTAAAATTACATTAAAATTGAATGATTCGGTGTCTCATTATTTTCATTTTGACAATGTAATGAAATCGGTCCAAATTTTTGTCAATGAAAAAGTTATATTAAAATAAAAAACAAATTGAAATAATTTAAATAAATATAAACTAAAGGTAGAATTAAATAAATTAAATTAAATTAAATTAAAATTAAAAGGTTAAAAGGTTAAAACCTTATGTTGTAACTCTTAATTTGTAAACCTTATGTGTAAAGGACACGACAAAATTAAAATAATTTAAATAAATAAATAACATAAATTAAATGTAGAATCAGATAAAATTAAAAATTAAAAAGTTAAGAAGTTAAAACTTATATATATAAAAAGAAAATTACAAAATTCGATTTACTTCCAGGCATTGAAAATACTGAGAGCCCAGCGAGAAATGACAAGTCGAATAGACGTCTTAGACGTCTTAGACGTCTCTATTTGAAAAAAGATCGGTCAACATTTCTGAAGACAAAGATCGATTGGTATTCTCTGGATAACCAAGACTTGTTTATAAAAGCGAGTCAATAATATAAACAACACATACGCAAAATCACAAACTGTCTATATATAATAGACCGTTTATATATAACCGTTTATATATAATAGAAAACTATGTTAAGTTTTTGGCAAATTATTAATAATGTTTAAATAAAACTTTTTACAATTGTATTAATTATTTTCAAATTTATTTGTTTTGTATAATAAGTAACTGTGTTATAAGATCGACATTTGACTTGCATTGCCATTAAAACTAATTTGTTTAATTTTAATATATTCTGATCTGATATTTTGAATAATATGAAATTATTATTCCATATGTATATACAGGGTTGGGCAAAAGTCCGGAAACGGTCAAATATCTCGAAAAGGATCAACTATAGCGAAAAATTGTAAATAGCAAAGTTGTAGGGCTTAAAAAAATGTACTTAATGATGACTAAAAATTTTACTTTGAGTGGAGGACGAAGATCATATAAAAGTCAAATTGAATTTTTTAAATGGAACCCCCTATTTTTCATTGCATATTCTTGTAGCTTATCTCGAGAGCTTTCCAAAACACTATAATTAAGTGACACTATAATTAACCTTTTTATTAAGTACTTTTTGAGTTATAAGGCTTGAAATAATTTCTTAATTTTACATAAACCATAAAATATCTAGTAAACCATTCATTTTTCGATTATCTTACCTTCATACTTTTATGTACAAAATAATGAGAGGAATCAATTGGTGTAAAGAAAACATACAGTTTTAAATTAAATATTTTTTCTTAAAAACAACTTAATTATAGTGTTTTGGAAAGCTCTCGAGATAAGCTACAAGAATATGCAATGAAAAATAGGGGGTTCCATTTAAAAAATTCAATTTGACTTTTATATGATCTTCGTCCTCCACTCAAAGTAAAATTTTTAGTCATCATTAGGTACATTTTTTTAAGCCCTACAACTTTGCTATTTACAATTTTTCGCTATAGTTGATCCTTTTCGAGATATTTGACCGTTTCCGGACTTTTGCCCAACCCTGTATATATATATATATATATATATATATATATATATATATATATATAATAATTCATATTATTCAAAATATCAGACCCGAAAATATTAATAGAAATTAAAATATTAAATATAATAAGTATATATACGAGGTGTGTTAAAAAAAAAAGGTGACTTTTCAAATTTCGCGGGCTACGTACATTCGATTTTGGAATTTTTTTTTGTTATGTTGGTACACATGTCCCCAACATATGTTGATATTATCAGCTGTTTTGCATGTTTGGTTTGTTTTTCACAGATATAAGGTTTAGACGTGTTTTGGTGTGCTTGGCGATTTTTTGCTATCAAAAAATTAAATTTTGTGTGAAAAATAAAATTAAGTGCTCTGACGTACTTGAAATGTTGACTGCGGCATTTGGCGAGTCTACTCTGAGCAAAAAAAATGTTTACAAGTGGTAGAAGCTCTTCACAGAAGGTCGAGAAGATGTTAATGACGATGCCCGCCCTGGACGCTCCAGCACGTCAACAACTGATGACAACGTCGAAGCAGTGAAGAAAATTGTTATGGAGAATCGTCGAATCATTATTAGAGAAGTTGCTGAGGATGTCGGCATATCGGTTGGCTCATGCCATGCAATTTTTTCGGGTGTTTTGGGCAACGTGTGGCGGCGAAGTTTATTCCGAAATTGCTGAATTTCGACCAAAAACAACGTCGCGTAGACATTGCTCAGGAGCTGTTGAATGCCGTCAACGACGATCCAAATTTGCTCAAAAGGGTCATAACTGGTGATGAATCATGGATAACTGAAAAGACCCATGAAAGGACGGAGATTTGCCACGAGGAGATAAAGACCGCATCGCTGGAAGAGCTCGAGACCATACCAAAAAGCGCATATCAAAAGTGCTTCGAGGATTGGAAAAAGCGCTGGCACAAGTGTATAATATCTGAGGGGGATTACTTTGAAGGGGACAAAATAGATATTGATGAATAAATAAATATTTTTCGAGAAAAATAAAAAGTCACCTTTTTTTTTGAACACATCTCGTATATATACCATATATGTGTGTATGTGTGTGTGTGTGTGCTTACAGGATAATTATCTTTAGACAGACCAGTATTTATACTGTAGATTTCTCTAAAGACTTTAAGAGCATCTTTCTTACGACCTTGTGTCATTAAAAACTTGGGACTCTCCGGAAAGAAACAGAGACAGGCAGCGCCTATCAACATCGGTAATCCACAGATAGATAGATATATTCTCCAGGAATTATAGACAAAGACGCCGTCTCCAAAAACAATTGACCATGGCTGAGGAATCACTAGCCAGGCAAATACTACACAAATACATACAATACAAAATTAGTTTTATGAGAAAGTAAATTTATATTAGATTATTGATTAATAATTGCTTATATAATTTCTTTTGTAATATAAAGATATTTTACCTGCATTAACTACATATCCGAATGAAACAGAAAAGCCGACAATAAGTGGAATTTTCGCTCTACCTTTATCGTCATAAAATTCCGAGCAATATGCCAGAAGAGCAGCATATGGTCCACTAACACTAATATGATAAAAATAAGACTGACCGTTAATTCAATCCTTAATTCTTAAATAACACATAAGAAGATATATAAAAAATGGATATTTAAATTAAAATTGATTTATTCATTGTTTTCCCTCGAAAAAGTATTGAATTAATATAGTATAATGTAATATATATTTCTCTCACATAAAGCCACTGAGAAATTTGAAAAACACAAGCGTCTCAAAATTTTGTGAAAAACCTGCAAATATATTACAGATACCATCCGCCAAATAGCCATATAATATAATCTTTTTTCTTCCTTTAACGTCAGCGAGATATCCCCACATAAAACCACTCAACATCATACCTATAGCACATTATATACACATGAATTATAATAAATGTTATACTCTATTTTTTATCTTTTATTATTTTTTGTAATATAATATACATAATATATATAATTCCACCATATTATTTCAATATAATGATTCAATTTGCATTGAAAATAATTCAAAACATATTACTACGCACCCACATAGGTGATTGCGTTCAAAAGCCCTTTATCAAATAGTGACAATCCTAAATCGCACTCCGCCGATGTAAGTATCATCGACATATTAGCTGTATCTATACTAGATCCCCATGAAATTGGGATAATCCCAATAATGAGAAGATATTGAAATTTTCCGATTCCAGCGACGGAAATTGCCGTTTCGAAATTTGCGATTTTCGTATTTGGCACATTTTCAATCACAACTAAATAATGTAAATATATTGTTCTAAAAAATGGCTATATACTATATACATATTTGTATGCATTTTCATTTAATGTCTAATAGAAAAATAAAAACTAAATAATCATTATCAACAACACAAAAACTTTGTACTTAAAACCAGAGATCATTTATTCTGGCTTTAAAACATACTATAAAGTTTCCCACAAATTTCAATATCACAGATAAATCTTAAGTATGTCGTAGGTATATCTTAAGTAAACTCAACTTCTATTTGATCAATATATTTATGTGAATTGTGCACTTACTTGAATTACGTTGTTGAATTTTTTTTTCCTTGGGCGTTTCTGTATTAGATGTACTATTGTACGACATCGCGTAATATCTATTTAATACGAGATATTATCAAAAAATTATTATGAAACATATGATTCACGATGGAAGCAGTTTTCCAAATTTTCGGTATGCACACGTTAAAACAAAAGCTTGTTCTGTTTCTGTCGTAAGAGTAGTATTTGATAACAATGATAATAATCAATAACACTTATATACAGTATGCAGAATATATATACAAAAAGATCTCTAACTGGATGTACTAAATATATGTACAAAAAGATCTCTGACTGGATCTACTGATGAAATCACCTTTTATTTTCAAAGACATTTTCTTCTTTGTCATCTTTCTGAGATCTCTCTCTCATCTTGTTTGTTTCACAATCTTTTTTATCATTTAAGTAAATTGATATTCTCAATCTGCTAATTTATTACGATCACGCTGATAATTTTGACATTTGAAGAGAATCATACATACGTACATTCTTGTATATATATATATATATATATATATATATATATATATATATATACAAGGTGTCCCACCTAGAAGTGGCCACTCCCTTTTATCTTTTAAACTAAAAGAGATAAACCATAACAAATATATATGAAATTAAATGGCTTTAACTGAACTTTATTGTGAGCATAGTGGTTGATTACAAAATTTATCTGTATTAAAGAACGGAGAGATATGTATAATTTTTTTATAATAATGTAGATATTTTGATATAATAAAAGTTGTAGTGCTGTTTGAAATGAATATAACGATGCATGATTTAATGTAAATATTTTACATATTATACGAGATTTTCCGACTTAAAATATCGCGGGCGACGTCCATCATTTCATTTTCGGCCCTGCGATATAGCCAACTTCTGACTCGTGCATTAGAGGTTGACATATGTCATGTTGTCATTTAATCATAATACTCAGTCAGAAGTTGGCTATTTGATCAAAGTGAGTCCTTGCGTGCGTGCGTGCGTGCGTGCGTGTGCGCGCGTGTGTGTGTGTGTGTGTACGTGTTAGACGTAATTAAAAAATTAATGAATTAAATGTTCAAATTGTTGTCCGTTTACTAATCAAGCATCTCGAAGAGATGGATATCCGACCGTGCCACCTCCACGCGGTACACCTTAGATAACGCGCCGGCGATACTTAAACTTTGAAGATTCGTAACTCAGGAAAATCTCAAGCAAAAAGGGTTTGTAACCAGTGTTTCGGAAACGTCTTGACACCAGCTTTAAGAATATGTAATAGAAAATAGGAGTTTCCATTTAAGATTTCAAAGTTGACTTACACAGTGTCCTTCAAAGTCACATAAAGGTCATTTCAATATAATCATATAATAAACCATTTCATATACTAAAACTTTTGTATGGAACATTTTCTTCCATAATCATTATTTTCCAAGATATTTGACCGTTACGGAACTTTCTCCCATCACTGTATATATATATATATATATATATATATATATATATATATATATACAAGAGACATTTGACGAGAATCATACATACGTACATTCTTGTGTATATATATATATATATATATATATATATATATATATATCAACAGACAGGCTCATCTATAATAGGAATTGTACACACTGAACTATAAACTGAATATATAAACTAAAATGGGAACTGAAGAGCTTTTCGCGAGCCGATGAAAAACAATCTTCAGGGCATCTTCAGTGTCTCATTTCATCCTTTTAGATTTGCTTGTACTGTCCAAGATGTGCGCATGTGCGTATATGCGTATGAGCGAGACATCCTGCTCTGAACATCTATCTATCTCAAGCTTGCTGTCCGCTTATGTATTTACAATTCCCATTCCAGTTTATATATAGTTCAGTAGTCGTAGAGTCCCACACGGAAAAATTTATCTAATAGATATCTAATAAATGTCTAAAAGCCACTTCGACTAAACTTCGATTAACTCAATCATTTATTAAAGGGTTGCCAACATGACAAAATAATTTAGTGTGACCAATTGTATTTCTGACGATATAATCGTCCTAACTAAATCTTTTGTTACATATCTTTTCGTGTAATTTGTGTGACAGAAAAGAAATAACAAGGAGATTATAACTTGAATAGAATTATTAATATTTTAATATAAAACTGATCGGTATGCATGTGAATATTTTATATAATACATAAAAATACATAGTACAGATATATTGATTGAAATTTATGTTTATGTATTTTAATAGTAATAATGCCATTCCACCTTCAATTCAATTGATGGTTACTCTCAGATTTTATGCAACTCGATCTTTTTTATAAATTATTGGTGATTTTTATGAAATTAATAAAGTAATTGCACAGTATTCATCGAGCTTCTTCTACCAAATTAAATACACAAATAATATATAATTTGCAAAATATTGACAACATGCAACGAACAAAAAATTTTACATATTCTGAGAAGAATGATTTATTAAATATAATTTTTTTATATCGGCACATAATTGAAAACAAAGAAACTGATAATATAACTAATTTACAAAAAGAAGAAATATGGACAAATATAGCAATTGAGTACAATAAGAATAGAACAACTATCAGATCTGAAAAAAGTTTACGTCTTTGTTGGGATAATATAAAAAGAGAAACAAGAAAATACTGCGCAATATATAAGCGTGAAAATTATAAAACAGGTGAATTTATTTATTATTAAAACTATCCTTAAGATTTTAATTTTATGAATTTTTATTGCATTTGTAGGTGGAGGTGTAATGGTTTTAGAAAAAAATGATTTGCTCGAACGAGCTTGAGAAATTATGGATGAAACAACAGTAAACAGATTATTTAATCCATTTGATTCTGATTGTATTATAGATTCTGACTATATTATGGAAAATGTCGGTACTGTTGATAATATATTACAAGATAAAAATGATAATATTACAAGAAAATGATTCAATGTAGGTATTTTCAGTAAAAATTAAATTATATATTAAATTTGTAAAATTTTATTATGTTCTAAATTTTATATTTCCAATTTGTAATATTTAGTTAAAAATTTAGTTAAATAAAGAAATAATATTTAGTTAAATAAAGAAATTAATGATACGAAATCTTGGGACTCTAAAAAATTAAAATTGAAAAAAAATTTCCCGCTATAGATTAAAGATACACCTACGACATCAAAAAATGTAAAATCGAAAAAGATAAAATTCCAAGAAAATGATGTTAACACATGAAGCTAAAACTGAATAGTACTTAATAATACATATACTGAATAATACAGTAGTATAACTATGTCAGTTCTAACACAGGTCCTCTCAGGGGGGGGGGGGTGAGGCGCGAGGGGAACCGCGGTGCAGGAGGGGAGTGACGTCCGCGAGGTGAAGGGGGATCCGCGGCGCGAGCGATGGACGAGGTGGTCCGCGCAGTGAAGGAGGATCCACGGAAAGAAGACGGTGTGTGAGAAGGACAGCGCTACGTGTGGGAAAAGGATAGTGCTACGAGTGCGGCAAGGATGTCATCATCGTGGGACAAGGACGACGCATAGGTGAGAGAAGGACGATGCAAAGGTAAGTGAGCAACGAGTATATTCTAAGCGAAAGAGAGAGAACGATAATATCGAGAATAACAACGCGTGCGAGAGAGAACGATAATACCGCGAGACTTACAATTAGCGCGCGCGAAAGAGAGAACGATAGCGCGAAGACTTACAACTAGCGCGTGCGAGAGAGAACGATAGCGCGAAGACGACGCGTGCAAGAGAGAACGATAATATCGAGATTAATGCATGAGAGATAACGATACTTAAAACTAGCGCAAGAGAGACGCAGGGATGGGAACGCGAGAAGAGGCGCATAAATAATTAGTTCTTTTGTTTAATTAAAATATAAAATATAAATTTATTTAAAATGTGTGTGTGTGTTAATACAATTGTGTGTGTGTGTGTGTGTGTATGTACTTAAATTATGATTATAATAATAAAATATAAAATAAAAATTTTAAAATATAAAATAATAATAATAATAATATAATGATATAATATTTGGGGGGATGGAGGGATCAGGGGAGCCGGATGAGGGTACCGCTCCTGTAACAGAAAAAAATATATATTTATAATATATATATATTTTTTATAAATCTTATTATAATTATATATATATATATATATATATATATATATATATATATAATTATAATAAGATTTATAAAAAATACTTACATCTGTGCTCCCCATTACACATGCCATTGGGTGCCCGAATCTCCCCGGGCACCCAAATCTCCTCCTCCATGTAGGGCTCTTCTCCGAAGAGCCGCCGAAGGTCAAAGATATCCTCTTCATCCGGCGGACTCTCCGGGGCGTCGCCCCACATGAAGGAGAGGTCCTGTCTCCTCCACCGCCGTTCCGCTCGCACCCACTGTCTGCGCCGTATATTCATGAAGCCTGGTATCTCACCTTCATCCTGAGACTAGAAAATAAAAAATATAAAAAATATAATTATTATAGATGTACAATTTTTATAAAATAAAATTTTTTATCAAATAAAATTTTTTTATTATATAAATTTTTTATAAAGTAAAATACAATTTTTTATAAAATTTTATAAAATAATCACAAAATCAATATTTACATTCCAATGGAACGCCAACTTCACTAGCAAGACCGCGAGCAGGTCCGAAAAGGCCTGCTTCCATCCTGGGCAGTTTTCATTGATATACTCCATTCTTTTATAAAATTTTTTTATAATACACTGAACTCGACTCGCGCACCGGTTAGAACTTTCTGATGCGGCAACGAGGTCCCGGCACGAGGTTTTATAGTAGAGATGCCGCATTATCACCATGCCAAAAACGCGTCGTAAGACAAAGTATACCCGGTCCCATGCAACTCAGCGCGGTATAGTATAATATTAATATCGCGACTTTGTGAGCAGACAAACTTCTCGGTACGAAACTTTAGAATAGGGACGTATCATTATCGCTTTGCCAAAAACACGTCATAAGACAAAACTATACATGTTCCCATGCAAATTAGCACGATATAATGTAATGCGTCAACTGATCAAACGGAAATGAATGATCATCGAACACACGTTGAACGGCTATTAACGGCTCTTCGAACGCTCTTCGAACGGTCATCGAACGGAAATGAACGACCGTCAAACGGTAATTGAACGCTCTTCGAACGGAAACGAACGCTCGTCGAACGGTAATTGAACGCTCTTCGA